AGGAGCTAAACAAATTGTACAGGTTACAACTAGCGAAAAGGAAAAAAAGCGAATACTACAAATGCAGTGGTGGACTTCGAAATAGCCTTGAGAGCAAAAGAAGAATGGAAACAAGCTGTAAAGGAGGCTAAAAACAAGAATTACAAGGAGAGGATTGAAGAGCTAAACAATTGTCCAAACACCAAAGACGCATGGCGTTTCATCAGCAATGTTAAAGGCAACAAACACAAAAACGGTGATTGGGCCACAGAAAACAATTTAGAATACCTGGAAATGCTAAAGTCGCAAGTAAGAGCCGCAACAACAATACAAGCAACGCAACCAGGTTTGTACCCTTCACATCTGACACAGCAGCCAAACATCATGGTTAATTTTTCGTATGACAATTTTGAAGAAAAACTCAATAGCAAAAAGTCGACTGCAGGGGGGGGTAGACAAAATCACCTTTAGCACTCTCAGACATCTACCTAGGGAATCCAAAGAAAAACTGCTAAAGGCCTTGGAATCAAGTTACCATAACAACGAAGTCATTGAGTCGTGGAGGCGAATCAGAATTGTTCCTATTCCCAAAGCAAATAAAGATTTGGATGACCTAAAAAACTTTAGGCCAATATCATTGATCTCAGTTGTTGCGAAGAGCCTCAATATGCTCATCAAAGATGCCCTGGTAGAAGAAGTAGAGTTACGAAATATAATCCCACAAAAAAGCTTTGCGTACAGAAAACAAAGATCGTCATCAATGTGCTTAAACGAAACCCTGCATTTTGTAGCTGACAAAAAGAGTAACAACGAAAAAGTTTTTATTTGCTTCCTAGATATAACTGACGCATACAACGGGGTCGACCTCGAAATCTTACACCGCACGCTGTTGGAATATAACATAAACCCAAAAATTGCTAATTGGACGAAAAACTTCTTCTCCTCGAGAATACTGACTCTAGGGCCACATGCGGTGGAAGTCAATAATGGACTCCCTCAAGGTAGCTGTTTGTCACCAATACTTTTCAATATTTACACGGCCAAGCTTCACTGTATAAACGATAGCAAAACGCAAGTTTTTTCAATTTGCAGATGACATAGCAATAATTTCGCACTGCAAGTCGGAAAAAGCTGCAATCCTCAATTTGAAAACCCAAATTATTAACATCCATGGGATCTGCAACTCTATAAACCTGAATTTCAACTTGGAAAAAACGAAATTCATGTACCTTTCTGCAGGGAACAAAAGAAACTTTGAACTAACAATCAGTGGTAACCAAATTGATCAGGTAGTCACAACAAAATGGCTGGGCAGAATTATTAACTCGAACTCGACAATCAAAGGGCAAGTTGGAAAGGTCAAAGACGAAATAACAACAGGTAAAAATTTACTTGCAAAACTGACTACAATAAAAGCAGGGTTAACACCCAGAATAGGGCTCAACCTATTCAAAGTATTCGTAAGATCCAAGATGGAATACAGCAACACCAGCTATGCCAATGCTCCGAACTGCTACAACAAAAAACTACAAACAATAGCAAATGAATCCCTGCGTAGATGCTTAGGAGTTCCCCCCTAACACACCTACCCTAGCTCGATATGCCATAGCATGCGAGCTGCCACCGCTAGCAAGAGCAGTTTGGTTAACTTCAAAAGAGCTGACCAAGCAATGGTTTCTCAATCCAGATTTAAGAACACAACTAAAAAATAGTAGACCGGTCAAATCAAGCTACAGCCACACCTTTGAGAAATTTAAGGACATTTTCAATCAAATTAACACAAACACTACTTTCATCAGACACCCTAATCTCAAATTAATAGACTCAAATCTAAACAAGTCCAAAAACAATGTGGCGCATGAACAACTACAAGCTATCTTTAGAGAACAACAAGCATACTATCTTGATCAGGGTTTTCACATATTAGCGACTGATGCCTCCGTGAGTGAAAATATAGTTGGTTGTGCTGTATACGACAAAGCAAATAACGTCTCCTACTTATACAACATACCCTTTTACCGGTCGACGACGTTTGGGGAATTAGTAGGACTGTTACAGGCGGTCAAACTTGCTAAAAAATATAAGTGGAATAAACCATGCATTTTTACAGACAGCTTGGCCGCTGTAAAACTGTTAAAACGACCGTTAACCCAGAACCATATAGTGGCCGAAATCCACAATCAAATTGCCAATTCACAAGTAGAAACTGCAGTCATCATGTGGGTACCCAGCCACGTAGGCGTAGCATGTAATGAAAAAGCTGACACTGCAGCTAAAACTGCAGTGAATCACGGCCAGACGCTTTCGATTGACTTAACGCCACAAGAGGCACTTATACAAATCAATACTCTACTATGGACAGAGACTAAGGACAAGATAAAGGAAAAATGTGTAGACTGGGACCATAATATCATCAATAGTTTTGCGATGAAGGAAAGACGACCTTGGTTTAAGGACAAGAGATTTGACTTAGAGCCTTATGACATGAAGCTCCTCAACAGACTAATTACCGGACACACATACAACAGCATCTATTTACAACAATTTGTACCAAATGTTAGTGAATACTGCAACACTTGCAATACGCTGGAAACTCCTGATCATCAAATCTTCCACTGTGATAAGTACAACGCTATGAGAACGAAGTTTAAACTCTTTGACACGTACAAGACCATAAATGAAATTATCACCACTAAAAAACCTGAGCTTTTTAAAGAGCTAATAAACTTTTTGCGAGAAACCAAACTAGATGGAGCACTCTAGGCCATAGGTAAGAATCCAGAACTGTGTATT